AGATGCGTTATCCAGCTTTTGGAGCGGTTAATTAATGACCCAGATTTTTTCACACCACCTTGACTGCCTCAGGCTCCTCCTGGCCCCGCTGCCTGATCAGGAGCGGCTCAGCCTGGTGTGGTCCACCCCAGGAATCAAGAGATGTCCCAACCATCATTTTGGCCGCCGCTCGCTCAGGACCTCAGCATCGCCGCCCCAGCGGGACCGTGGCTGCAGCCCGTGCTCCTCCAGCTGTGCACAGCTGGTCAGGCACGCAGCACGGGGACGTGGCGTTCCTCACCGCAGCCCCAGCGCTGGCACTAAGTCACACTGTCCCCAGTGACACCGGTGCTCCAGCGCAGCCGTCCTGGCTCAGATCAGGAAAGGAGGAAATCCTCACCAGAAATAAAAGCGACGGGCAGCGCATGTACACAGTAAGTCTAATGGACTGGTGAGAAGAATTTAAATCATTTATTGAAGTATTCTAATTACAGGTTTGAAGTATGTGTTACACATTTAATGACTTTGTTTACTGTATGCGTATATGGATAAATAAAGCGTTGGAAACCTGAAATTTGTTTCCTGTTGTTCCCTCCAGTCAAGCTTAAGTGCTACGCTGCAGCTACGTGCAAAATAAAGTGTCTTTAAAAGATAAAGCTGAAACGTCACTGCTGGAGATGAGGTAGTCCAGATCTGAACTTACCTGGAGCATCCTCCTCCTGCCCAGGATCAGGCGGCCGCTCTCCAGCCACAGCTGGCTCCGCAACCTGCCGAGTCGTGGCATAAACTGGTGACAAAGCCCTCCTGTGATACCACCACCTCAGAGCACCTCCAGGGAGAGCTGCTGTCGGACTCGGGGAGGGAAGGGCCCCCGGCAGCCCTGCAAAAAGCTCCTTCCACCAGCAGCGGCAACAGAAGGCGCACCGAGGCTGCAACCTCAAGGCCACAGCTTCCCCCACCGCCTTTCGCTTGAAGTGAGAAGTAAACCGAAGGGCTGCATTAGGGAGGTCTCCGTTGGCTTTTTCCCCCCTAGTTCTTATTCCAGATCTCCTCCACAGGAGGCGCGTACGCTCTCACCCTCCCAAGTTCAAAGGCACTGCAGGACCAGTCTGTTCGTAACCAGTCAGGCGCTGCGTCCCCAGCGGGTGCCAGGCAGGCTGGGCTCATTCGCACCACCCGGTTTGCCGAGCTCTGCACCTCCACCCGCACCGGGAAAACACCTCTGCGATAGGCACGAACATATGGGAATAGTTGTGTGCACATTTAAGGTTTAAACTTTTTTTTTTTTAGGAATGTGAAATTCAAGCCTTGGCACCGGCTCTCCTCCTGTTCCGCTCTCCGCGACATCTCTCCGCGCTTCCCGCGACGCCCAGCGCCTTTCCCTCAGACTGGCACAACACCCTGGCTATTCTCAAGCTTTAGCTTGCCAGTCTCCGGTGTATCGAAAACAAAAATCAAACCATCGGCAAAGATTTAGCTGTCGTTAGCCCACAGCCGCACGGATTGCTAGGAAGGAGACGCATCGCGGTAAAGCCGGAGCAGCCAATGGGACCCAACACTGCTCGCTGCCAGCTCCCACCACACACCCCCAAACCCGCCCGGCCGAGACGCATTCGGTAGCTGGAGTCTGCAGTGGAAGCTGGAGGCAGGACAGCGCGTGGTACCCCCACCTCAAGTCGCTTCTCAGGGAGAAGGAACCAAGAGAACAACTGACAACAGCCACTGCCCAGGAAATTACTTTCCCAAAGCAGAGGGGAAGGTGCTGCGGGGAAGCGTCGCGAGAGGAGCGTGAGCAGCACCCCGCCGTCTCACGGTGTGCATCGAGGGCTCCCCTGCAGCACCGACACCACTCTGAGATGCTGTTCTTCCTCCAGCGCCGGGCGCCGTTCCCCCACCGCCCCGGCACAGGGAGCGCCGTCCCTGCGCCCAGCCCGCGGCTCACCTGCGGCAGGACGCTGCTCGCGACTTCTCCCAGGCACGCCAAGGGATGTCACGGCTCCAGGAAAGCTTATTCTTCCTGCCACGCAACTCAGCGGTCACTGGAGGACGAGAATACTTACCCTGACTGCCCAAGCAGGAACTCACCATGTTGACGGCAGAAATTGGGCACCAAAGAACAACAGTTCCCAGACGTGCCAGTGAACAGACACAGCCTCTCGCTCCAGAGAGGCGGACGCACTCGTTAAGACACGGCACGCAGTGTGCCTCGCCACGGTAGCGCTGCAAGCGATCCACGCTCCCCCCTTCCACCCGCACGTTCAATAGGGGTGTTGAAGTCAACAGGATTTTTTGATCTGCAGGTTCTCAATAAAACCACTTGCCAAGAGGCGTCAGAGCAGTTCTAGGCTGGTGAGCCCCTGGGGCAGGTTGCCCACAGAAGCTGTGGCTGCCCCATCCCTGGAAACATTCCAGGCCAGGTTGGACGGGGCTCTGAGCAACCTGATCTGGTTGAAGATGTCCCTGCTCACGGCAGGGGGGTGGACTAGACAGCCTTACAGGTCCTTTCCAACCCAAACCCTTCTGTGATTCTATTGCTCTAAGTTTAGTTTTGAGTTGGACTTTGGGATAGTATTTCAACCCTGGGACCTGTCTGCATCCCTCACTGCCATCTCCAAACCGGTCCAGGACACCCGTGCTCAAGGTCACAGCTCGGACACGGACGTACTCAAGACAGGACAGCAGGGGAAGATGCACTTCCACGTGAAAACAGCTTTTAACGGCAGTCCACGAGCGACCTGCAGAGCAGGCACCCATTTTAGCATCTTCATCCAAGTCTGACGAAGGTAAACAGTGGTCCACCGTTAAAGGGAACTACTGCACGAAAAAGCACGTAACTAGCAATGGCCATCTTTGTCCCCACGTGATGCCCCCCTGCCCTGCATCGCTGCCCTGCAAGTGCCATGCCGTCTCACCCACCCAGCCAGACCTCCAGGCGCTTTCTTAGGAGAAAAGAGAAGCAAATCTTTCCCTCGTCCTCCATACACGCCACCGGAAATCCTGCAGTTTGCCGAGTACAAATCCCAAAGGCAACCGGGCACGCGCCAATTCAAATTGCTGAACTGAAAGAGCACGGTAAAACCAAACTTGAATCTGAGTTATCGTCTCTCCACCCAGTAAAGAATGCAGAAGAAAAACAAAGCTCCCTCACCTCTCGGTGTTATGATGACCTTTGCAGCAACACCTCACGGGTGAAGCTCAAACAGCTCAAGCGCACTTATTGGTAACTACGGGCAAGCTCACACCGCAGGGCAGTGAACCGACACGAACCAAAGCAGCCTCAGCTGACACCAAACAAACGAGCATCAGCACCGGCCCTGCTCACAAGGCCCATCACACCATCAGCTACGCAAAGCGTGCAAGATTTTTGTTGCCAAGTACCAGCTCTGCCATTTTGCTTTTAGGCCTAGGGGCTGGTTCTGAGGTTTGGTCTCCAGCCTCGGTACCCAGACATCTGCCACCTGCGAAGACTGGCGTGGTGTCACCCGAAGGCAAACACTTCACTCGTACTCGGGTCAGACACGTAAGGCAACAGAACCCCATTTTCACGCTCTCCATACCCAATCTGGCAACCGCCCTGGCAAGAGGATTCTGGCTGAGCATCAGACAAATCCATACCTCAATCAGCTGCATACAACCAAATTAAATAAAAAAAAAAAAGCAGCCTTTCTTTTGGTGAGGCAAAAAAAGTACTATTTGATCATTCACCTATTTCTGCATATTGATTTTCAACAGACAAGAGAACACCATAGCGCATTTTCTCCCTGCTCAAGTCTCTAATTGCCACGTGAGGCTTCACATGAAGGCTTACTCCAACCTCAAGAGACAAATAGCATCATTAGTAGGACAACCACCAAACTTTTGTAACTCCTACCTGAAAGTCTCCCAGTAAGGGCAAATGAACCGTTCCCCCCTCCAGTCAGGTTACACATCCCCCCCAGTAAGAATATTACATTTGGCTTTTCTAGCACAGCACCCAGCACAGCAGGGGACACGCCAACCACGCCACTGGGCCGCTCGGCGCTTGCTCAAACACCCCTGAGCCTGGGCAGGAGGCTGTTACCTGGAGAAGGCAAACCCCAACAGGAGCACAAAATGAAGGTAGCGTGGTCCTCGCAATGATTTTTTTTTTTTAGAAAAGAAGCAGGTTAGCAAATGCTGGAAGTGTCAGCTTTAGGCATATGTCCTGCGTTTATTAAAACAAGAGGCGTGGCTATGCAAACCAATCTCCACGGGCAAAGAGTCATTACAGGTAAGAGTCATCTCAACTCCTCGAACTGCAAACACCATATATTCACACCGACTTCTGATGTTTCAGAAGAATTGATGTCCTTTCCCGCACGGCTAACAACTTCATTTATTCATCACGCTCGTTTCCTCCCAGCCATCGGCGGCATTCGATCTGAAAGATGAACTTTCATGCTCCAACCTTGCCCTCGTTACAGTCAAAAGCCAATCTGCACCGTGTGCTTTTTCTCTCCGTTTCTCTCCAACTTTTTCTGCTGACCCCCTTTTTCAAATTGTGCAGGTTTTAAAAGGTCTAGTCCTCTGGATTTGGCGTGACAGCACAAGTAGCAAGCAAGAGGACAGAAAAACGTTACTAAAGAGCAAGGTCATTAATTGTAAATAAGCTACTGGGAGGGAGATGTTTTCCCAAGGCCAAGTCCATTCCTGGCAATGGAAACGCCTGGGCCCCACGGCCGCAGGCAGACTGGACCTCTTGGGGCAGAACCTAGATGAGACGCTATTAATCTAAGCGGTTCCATCTCCATGTGTTTTCATGACATTTTTTAAAAGAGCATGAAAATAAACCTTTATTTCAGTTAACACCCACCAATATTAAAGATATATGTTCACAGTTTTAGTTCTTGACACAAATGGACCGAAAGAGGCAAATTTACATCTATCAGAACAGCAGACGGACCAATTGTTAAGTACAAGCTGTCTTGAAAATCGTACGTGAGATGCCATTCGGGAAACTGCTCTACGCTCTAAAGCGGGAGAAGGGAAAGCTTCTGACCAAGTCCGGCTAGCAGGGCCCCAAACGACTGACCAGCCGGCCCAGAAGTCATCTCGAAAAAAAGCCGAGTGGCAACTGAAACGGCAAATATACAGAGTTTGGGTAAGGGGAGGAAGGCTTATGTTACAGAGAAAGCTTTTCCAGAAGTGTGTTTCTGCGTATCTCAGCATGCGCTTAATTGTATTATGTCCCTAAGGCTGGAACTGCAACACAGTCTACTGAACCACAAAGGGAGGGGGAAGAGGAAGGACTCGGTGCTGGACCTGCACCAGCCCCCGCTCCGAGCACCTGGCTGAGATCTGCTCAGAGTCCGCAGAAACGAACCAAGAGATTTTCCCATCCACCGTTTGAAAACTTGCCTCCTTCTCACAGCCTGGAACGTTAAACTATAGGTGAGTGCACTAAAAAGTCTCATCCAATGATATTAACAGTGGTTCACAACAAAAACTTTTGTAGAAAATAGTTCAGCTAAAGCAAGCCAGCTAAACACCACAGTTAAGGAGTTTGATAGTTCATATTCAAAGGTCTCCGATACTTTTTGCCTGTCCTGTACAGCTTTTAAAAAAATAGGGCGTTACCTTTTGTTTTCTATCTACCTAGTTAAGAAACTACAAATATGTTATAAGCTGTCCAAAGTGTAAAACATTAAATCAAATGAGAAACCTGTTTCTAGTCTCCTAACAAATGCTGCAGATAAAAACCCTAAGAAACCCTCTTTATAAGTCATTCTCTCAACTCCTTTTGCGTCCTGAAGCGGTAATCCTGTTCACAGGGATTAAATTAAACCTACGGCAAATTTCTACGGGGGTAGAAAGGGTATTTCTTACAATTGCGCTCTGAAAAACATTCATTTGTCAGCTAGCAATCAGATCTTAAACACTGCACAAATCCAGAACAAAACTTTGACGGAGAGGTTAAGTGTTGGGCTTTTGTTTTGCGTTATTTTGTGGTGTCGCGCACAGGTTGCAATGTTCCCGTCTCAAACGGTAAACCCAAACTCCCTCCTGCCAGACCCAGCCAAGGCCTGCGGTTTCTTCTTCGGAAGACCTACTGCTGTCGGAGCGGCGCTGCGGATACATCAGGAACTGATGTACTCGTGTCGGACTGCGCTGCTAAATTCCACGTCCCAGCCGGAGTCCAGAGGGACTACCGCAGCAGCGGCTACCACCGTCCCCGACCTCCCCGCTCCAACTTCGGGAAAGGTTACTCCAATCTACAGGGCACCCCTCTCAAAGAAAAAACATAGGTAATTTAAAAACTCTTTTTTTTTTTTTCCCCAACAAAGCATCTTGTTCTGTTGAAGGGAGGAGGAGGGAATAAAGGTAATAAGGGTGAGTGGAAGGTGTAATACATTAATTTTAAAAAACTGTTTAGACCAATTATCCACACATCATTGCTGGATCAATACACAGGTATTTAACTACAAACCAATGTGCTTTGAATCTTTTTCAAGTATCTGGCCATCAATTTTGTAGAAAGATTTTTGCTTAAACAAACTACCAAACATAGATGAAAAATGACTGTTTTTCCAAGTCTGAAATTAAGCATTAAAACTAAAGTACTCCAGGAGTTAGTATTCCATACAGCACTAACAGTCTGCCAAATTAAAATTCCACATATTCCAAAAGACCACGGGCCGATAAAAATCTGCTAAACAGGAATTAAGGAAACGGAAATAGTGTGCAATAATTAAAACCCAGTTTGTAGTTTGGGGAAAATGTCTAAAATCCTGAATAAAAAAAAAAAAAAAACAACCCACAAATGAAGTGAAAGCTTTTAACTGGTACACACTGTTCACACCTATATTTCAAGTTTGGAAACGCATATTTTCAAGCAGCAATACAAAAAAGTATCCATGAAGAATGCATAATCTCTGAAAAAATTATGAAAACATCCCTGCTACCATTACATTTCTAAATACAAAACTGACTACCATATTGTTGCTTCTGTGTAGCGAGAGAAGTTCATTTTCAAAACAGATAAAATTCAGTCTTTAGGTGTGAATGGTATGAATGACAGTCTCCTCTTTTTTTTTTTTTTTTTAAATTTCTTAGTTGTTTAGGATCCTTAAGCATGCAAGCCTCGGAGAGGAAGGCCCGACGAGGGCAGGGTTGGCTTATGACATCCAGTTTAGGACAGAGCTGGGAAAGCCTCTGGGTCATCTACATCAGGAGCAGAAGCACTTGACTGAAAGAGAAACATCAGAAAGTTATTCCTTCCCTTGAGTGGCATCGAGCCCTACTGTGTTTCTAATTCTTCACGCGTTACCAAATCCTCCCAGTCGCTCAGCGAGACGTTAGCACCGCTCGGTGGCGGGCACGGGGACAAGATTAGGCCTCTGTCCCTGTGCAGACCGACCGGGCGGCACTTGCACGGGGCAGGCAGGGGGACTCCCTGCACCCCACACAAACAGGGGTGGGAATTCCTCCTTTTTAAAACTAACTAGAACCCTAATCCACAGGGAAATACCAGGATTCAAAGAGGTACACAGTACAGCAGTCTAGTGCCGGACAAGTTACTACAAGAGCAACTTTTTTTCCTCCATGATAAGCAAGACTTTTTTTTTTTTTTTATTCCGAGGACTAGAAAGTCTCCTATACTACTTTTTGAATCAAAGCTATCTGAAGAGGCATTATAAGCAAACAGACCACGCTCGCATGTGATTATCACACAAAGTTACAAGTACATCTCTCTTTCCACTCTTAAAGAGATCCCTACATGTGGGCTTATGCTACTCTACTAGCATATAACCATCACTCCTTACCGAGGGACACGACTGAAGTGCTACAGAAAAGGCCTGTTTGTAGCACAAATTAAGCTTCACATGTTTAATTTTTCCCAGGTCACAAACTAGCTGTTGGTAAAAAGGATTTTGGTGCCAACCTAGCCCTAGAAATTCATGCATTAATCAAGAATCTCCTCGGTAATTCCCAACAGAGTTTTTTTAAAAGGCTCTGTACCACACCTAAAAAACACAGCTGCAATGAAATGCAGAAATTAAATAGTTTAAAAAATACTCTTCATTTTGCCCATGAGGGATGTGGAAGAGAAGCAGAGTTGGAAGAGCCAGGATAGCGGAATTTCCTGTAAACGTATTCATTTATCAAGAGATGTATTTAAATCATCCCATGAAAAGTTCTATCAACACCTATAGGCAAGATTAAGGCACTGCAGAAGGACCCAGCCCACAAACTAGAGTTAAAAAGTAACAGCAGGGTATTAAGCCCATAGCAGTAGTATCTGTGGTTGCTCGTTACAGAAAAGCAGAAAGCAAGCCAAAAAAAAAAAAAGCCAATCCGCTGCAGGAGGGGAGTTACAGTCCCTGCAACAGGAGGGCTTTGGTGACAGGTAAGGCAAGCGCCAGCAGAGATCACCAACCTGGTTGGGTGTGTGGATCACGTCAAACTCCTTAACCAACTGGAAGGAAATAAACAAAGTCAACATCAAATAAGCCGCAGAGAAGTTTTTAACTACTTTATGACACAGCATTCTTGAAGAAGCAAGATGCCACATCAGTGAAACAACTCAGAGCAAACACCACCACCGTTTAATTTAAATTCCTTAAATTTTTCTTATACTGCTGTCAGGACAGAGTTTTCCAGCTAATAAGCCTAAAACTTAAAGCGATCCAGTGTAAAAGAGAACACAAAGTCAGTGTTCTAGGAGAGACAACAAAGAGCAAGTCTGGTCTATGTGAAGAAAGCCCCACCACGCAGACTGAACACATCTTCTAGTGAGTAACAATTTGATTAGATGCACTTCAGCTGAATAAGCGATCCACAATAAATCAAATCTTTACTGTAGCTACACTACGATACTTCAAATTTACATGTTCTCTCCCCAGTCCCATTCAGTACTTCTCCTGGGTATTTCCTTAAGGCTTTAGGACTAGAGGAGGAAAAAAAATTACTGCAGATAAAAAACCCTCCACCCCCATAAGAATCCTATTTCCACATGAAAAAACTAAATTCCTCAAATTCAAGGTATAACATGCAGCCGCAAAACCAGTCTTTCACCCCCAACAGGTCACAATGCAGATACAGCGTCCTAATTGTGTCTGAAAATAACTGCCCTAGCACTCGCGGTTCTGCTCCGGCACAAACAGGAGCGTCTCACAGTACATTCAGATCTGTCCATACTGAAGAGTCATTTTTCAGGTTTAGATACAAAGATGGACACTTTTTTTTTTTAATCCAACCTACTCCTCACCCTCCCTTTTTTGTGTTTCATAACAACACTGCTAAAACATTCACCCTTTTGCCCTAAGAGTAACCTAGTTCAAAGTAAACTTGTAAGAATAGACACTTCACTTGGTTTTAAAACATGGTGTTTGCTGTCAGAGCAACTCCTCCAGCAATAAGGAAGACTCATCTGTGTGAAACTCCTAATAACAACCGAAACTAAACTCTTCTGTGGACGAAAGCTGTAGCTACTCACCTTGTCAGTTCTGCCTCCACGGCTGGCCCTGCCACCACGCCCTCGGCCACCCCGTCCCCCTCTGCCACCGCGTCCGGGGCGGCCGAGGTCTCCAAAGTTGATCTCCAGCTGGGATGTAATATCATTTGCCGGCTTGCGGAAGTGATGATCCATTACCGAGTCCTCAGCGTGAGCCTGAAATGAGTGTTTCTCCATGAGTAAGAAAAATCACCGACGGAACTTTTTCCATCTGTAGTCGCGCTCTTACCACCACAGCATGCGTGTTCACCTCCAAACGCGCTCCCAAATTGATGACTGATTACCTTGATTGATTCAAGTTAAAGGATAGTGCAGGAATTGTTAGGAATCAAGTTATACCACTTGTGCACATGACAAAAACCACATACAGGTAATCAAATAAGCGCTTGAGCAAACAAAGGTATTTTGCATTTCCAAGATAATTCAGGGGAAGCTCTGGAGTTCCTTCAGAGGAACACGTTTGGGCTTATCTGAGATCAAACTATCGCCAAGCCCATACAGAACCTCATTTTCTAGCATTTCTCTTCTCACTTTGTATCCTGAGAAATCTTCAGGGTCTATCGATTCATTTCATTCTTTTTCAAATACTTACTTGGTAACCCATCTTTATTTTGCTCAATGAGTACTTTACACTTTCTCATTTGTTTAACCCTGTATAAATATTTAAAACAAGGGAGATGGTAAGAATCCCTTATTGATTTGTACTAGCCATAACAAACATCCAACGAGGCATAAACAGTTCAAATAGAATGTAACTGAAGTAGCCAAAACATTAATGCTAAAACAGAGAACCAGTCTCACCAATTACGGTGAAAAATATGACTCTCCCCACCTCTACCACGGTACAACATTCTCTTACAGCTGGTTGGTTCCCAGTGCATTCACAGTGAGAAACTGGAGCCTCGACGAGCAAGCGATGCACCGAAGAGTTACACCTAGCACCATAAACGCTACTATTCAGCACATTTGAGTAGTTCCGAGTTACTACAAACTGAACACAAAAAGCCCCAAGCGTTTTCAAACTGTTTTTCCTGTTTAGCACAACTAATTTTTCCAGGCAGTAAGTCAATGTTCAGCACCTATGACGATACACAGAATGTAAAACCGACCCCACTGCATCAGACCAAGGGTTTAGCTAGTCCAGCACTCTGCCTCTTGCCAGGCCCAATCATCATGTTTTGGAAATGCAACAACATACAATGCTTTCTTTTCCTATAAGCCCCTAAACTTCTGGCACAGCGATTTTCAGTTTGCTTGTTTTTCCTCCTACAGAAGCGCCATGTGCCAGCTTAAGCCTACCGACTATAACTTACTTTTCTTGTGGCGTAATTACACAACATGCCCAACTTTCAAAGGCAACATATTGTGCAATTAAGCCCTATACCCTTTAATTACCGTCTGTGGACCCTTCGTAAGGCTGCAGTCAAAAGGCTGAAAGCTGCTTTCAGGGATTCCTTGAGTCAGTCACGAGCACCAGAGTGTACAGAGCCATAAAGAGCCTTCTCCCCCACCAATCTAATTACCCCTCGCCCTGCCCAGCTCCATGTTCGGCCTCCGCAACATCCTGCAGTGGAGGGCACTGCAATTTAATTAGGCAAAATGAGAAATATCCCTCCACGCCGCTTTGTTTCAAACATATTTCACTGGGATGTATTCCACCTAACAGCCGGCCCCCGCTCCCGCTCTTGATTTTATGCATTTCAATTGTACACCCTTCCCTCAGAGATCTCTTTCCCAAACTTAGGAAGACAGCCTAAGCAGTTGTCTTTCAGAGAAAACTCATTCCACATC